TTTTCCATCCCTAAGCATTCTGTTCCTCCTGTGGAAAGGAGTTGGTGGTTGTGTTATGACAACTTCATCCCTTAGTGTTCTTCATCCCTCAATTAATCAGTCAGAGTAAAGGATAGTTAATATGATCCTGATTAGGAGAAGAAAGCTTTCAATTAAAGGCACCATGGTCTAGAAGACCAAATGTAAATCCCTATCTGACCTCATTGACATGGAGAAACAAAAAAGGGATGGGCGGACACCCAGCATAGTGATGTGCAGTATTAAGCTCAACAACAGGAAAAATCCACAAAATCCGTTGTCACTGTTGTCACTGGTTTCACCGTTGTCACTGTTGTCACCGTTTTCGCCCTTGTCACCGTTGTCTCCGTTGTCAATGTTGTCACTGTTGTCACTATTGTCAGCATTGTCACTGTTCTCAGTGTTGTCACCTTTTTCACCGTTGTCACTGTTGTCACCGTTGTCACCGTTGTCACTGTTGTCACCGTTGTCACCATTGTCAGTGTTGTCACAGTTGTCACCGTTGTCACTGTTGTCACTGTTGTCACCGTTTTCACTGTTGTCACTTTTGTCACTGGGAAAAATCCACAACTGAAAAACTGGTTTTTAAGAACCTGTCAGGCTAAAATTTTCCAGTTAGGCTGTCTTTATAAAAGAGCACTCAAATTTGAAACAGGTTATTAATCATAACCATTACAATTTCCTCAAATTTGATTGGTGCATTAACTGCTTTATTTTTCTTTAATCATTGTTTATAGTTGCCTGTAATCAGACAGTTATGTTAGCCAATCATATTAAATGCACTCAGCTAAATCCACCAATCACAGAAGTTATCATGATAACCATAGCAACAATCACTTACCCAAACAAACTGGGGATTAATCCAAAATGATATTTTCTCTTACTTTGGACATTTGGTATGAACAAACACTCTTTCACCAAAAAGGAATGCATCTATTTTCTTGGAAATTGTAACGGTTATAATTATTAATTGGTAACAGGACTCTGTGTCGTCCAATTCAATCTGTAATCATTTTCACGATTAAACAAATCTGACTCCCGCTTCGCGGTTGTCCAAGTTTGTAACACTTGTATGATTACAGACTGAATTGGACTCCCCTCAGTCCTATTACCATTATTTATAAAATCTCCTAGAAAAAGCTTCTGCACAGTGTACACTTGGGAAAGTAAGATAAGTCAACATTCAGGGTCCTCTTTTGAGACACAGGTGTCTAATAATATTTATTATTACTCTGACTGCAATGTGATGGCATACAGGTTTTACATATACTAAGGAAAGAGCTGAATGCCACTAAATACTTTTAGCTCAAAGCTACAAAGTATTTTTTTTTCAGAAAATAAGGACCTATTTGAGACTGAACCTAAACAGCCTAAATCTGTGCTAATTAGGTTTTCTTTAAGAACCTGACTTGTTTAGGCTAACTTGGGAAAATACAGATTCTTGGTTGCAGGTTTTTACTAGTAATCAAATTTGATGGAAAAAAATATTATCAAGAATTAACATAGCTTATTTACAACTCCATTTTTCAGACCTGCAATTTATTTAAGGCTGTCTTTTACAGGAACCACAAGAACAGCATGTATTTTTATTTTCAGCTTTAATAAATTCCAGACTATTTTAATGATCTGGGGCCAGTTGCTCGAAGCCTGGTTAGCGCTAACCGTTGGTTAAGAGGTATCAAAATGTATAGTTTTCCATGGTATTTAACGCTGGTTAGCACTAACCGTGCGTCAAGCAACCCGGAACTGGTTAGAAAATCCTCTTAACAGATGGACTAGCAAAATGTGAATTAATAAATCTTTTGATCAAACTGTCTTCTGCTTTTCTCTTGCCAAACCATCTTTCCCTACAGAAGAACAAAGGTTGTAGCAAATCAGAAGAATAAAACAAAGACAAGAGGCTACACCTGAAACCCCTCTTTACTGTTACTTTAACACCCAGGGAGAAGGTTATGGTACTTCTATACTGGTAATTGTGCCATGGAATAGGGAATGGGTTTTGAGATGATCAGTCTTTATCCTACACTACTTGGCTTGGCTTTCTGATCCTTTGGTAGGGTTCCTTTGTAAAATTATACTAGTTCACTGTCAGTAGATAACCTTCAGGGGTTTCAAAATGTTTTAAAGTAGGCAGCTGAATCTGGAGGTTGGGGGCACCGGAATTGCTGGCAACATACAATCAAGTAGCCGATGGAACTCCGGTGGTCACTGGCTTGTTTTGAAACCACTGAAACCTCTGGTAAAAACTGGAGATACATTGATGGGATCAAGATATGAACTTGAGCCGAGAGCTACTGAACAATAAAAAAAACACTCTTTTCATGCAAATCAAGCCGTTTGAAGATTGAAATTTTTTTGGAACAATAATAATATCATTGATCAATCAAATAAAGTAGGTGAATGAAATTTCAGTATTTCCTTTAACACTAGAAGAAAAACTGTTGTATACATACTAATTATACACAGCTGTACATCATTATTATTATGGTTCAATTTTATCCCTGGATAATTTTAGTTTCCTTTGTGTCATACTCATTATCATACATTTTCATACCCAAAAACACAGGAAAAAATTTAAATTGAAGTATAAAGCAAAAAATAAAAATACTGTCCGTGTATGGCCAAAAGAAAAAAAATGATCACTGGCTCACTCAAAGCTGCACTGGGTGACTGTTTCTCCTAAAAAGGTTTGAACTCTCTGTTGGATACTCCCTTTTGCCCCACCAGCTACAGGTACATACCCCTCCCCCTCAGGTATGCCATTCAACATTGCAATAAAAGAAGACCACTGTCAACCTTATTAAAAAGTTACAGAGTAAAAACATTGTTATTAGGAAACAGAAAAACCATTCTACTGAAGTGAATTATTGCAGTAACCTTCGAATTTTGGTTCCATCGCTTACATGTATTGTTTCTAGTAACAAAATGTGCAAGTCTTAAGATGAAATTTTCATATTACAGAACAAAAAATATCCTTCCTTTTTCCAGGAAGGCCATTTTCTCCCAACAACTCCCTACCAGGTAGAAATTCATTCAAGTTTCATATAAAATACTTTTTGTTTGTTTTGGCCACGAAGGCCCCCTCTCCTTACAACTTTTAAGGATCCTAGAATCAAATAATGCAAATATCCCTTATATACAACTGTCTTACAATATGGATTTTAAGGCTCGGCAAGGGAAAATTGGCAAAAAATATACTTCCAGTCCTTCACATGTAATTGAACTGTCTATCCCCTACCATGCACTGAGAGAAAATAACTGGCAATGCAATTTTGCTTATCTGTGCAAATTAAGTTTGCTGTCATTAAGTTTCACAATCCCCCGTAAGCAACAATGCACTCTGTCATACAGTGTAGGTGTGCTGTTACCACCTCTGAAATCGCCTAAGCAAAAACCTTGCATGCCTCCCTCTAAAACAATAAATTATGATCACAGCAATTGCAGGCATGTGGTATCTTTCTGGTATACTATCATACTCAAAAAAGGCTACTAGCAATAATAATTGATCAACAAGATTATTGTTTTTCTTATAATATTGTTCTCTTGGTGTAGGCCCTCTTAATGTCTCCACCTCTCCTGGGGCACCACCTCCCAAAGCAAACGGTCTATTCTCTGTCACATTTTTCCTATTTTATGCGTTTCTTACCCAATAAAATACAGTTTTAGAGATCCAGTAGAAAGTGCTGTGAGAAAAAGGGTAGTTCTTTCGGATGTTTTACTGACCTTTTCTAATAATAACCACCTGTTCTTTAAGAATTCCCCTTTCATCAATCATTTAAAAAATTATCTAATTCTCTTAACTATTAAAAGCTCACGCTCTAACATTGAATAACTCTAATATTTCGCTAGCTACGCTCCTTGTAATTCTCTCACGTGCACTAAAAGAAAAATCAGCAAACCTACTAACCTTATCTATGCGACATCATGCCAGAGGGTCTTCGAACAGCAGAAGACTGAGCCCTTGCAGCAACTTTACGTCGAGTTATAAAGCCTTCCACCTGTTAACCCTTTAAACTGTGACTATAAGCTTTTTCTTCACGGAATTTCGCTCAGAATAGGCAATTTTGATTGATGACTTTGATGAATCAGAAGCCGCGAAAACCAAACTCTTGAGTGACGCTCGATTACAAACAGCGAAAGACTCACCATGGCATTCCTCAAAACCATGCAGTTGAGTGCAAGTTTCTGCAACTTTACGGGGCGTGATCCAGCCTTCCAGCGGTGAACACTTTAAACTGTGGCCATCGGCGTTTTCCCCATTCTATTCCGCTTAGGGAATTATATTTTGATTGATGACTTCTCTAAATCAGAGGCCGCAAAAGCCGCAAAACGTTAACGACACTCGTTTTGAAACATTGCAAGACTCGCCATGACATTCCTCGCAGCTGCATGATATTTATCGTTAAAATAGTACTAAAACTTCTTTGTTTGGTCATGACATTTGCTTGAAAGGCCGGCTATATACCTTCTTAATATTCTCGGAATTCAAGATACATAATTCCGTTAGCCTGTGGGTAAAAATAACGAGGAAACCAAATAGCATCGGGCATCCATCTTTGTGCTTCGCGCGAAAACAGAGCAGCAACTCTGCAACCGGATGTGATGTCATAAATCGGTGGATCATAGGTACACGAAATTTCGCTAAGTCGTGGGCCCCCCCCTGATAGGGGTATATAGGGGCATATAGTGTTGTATAGGGGTATATGGTGTGTAATAGGGGTATATAGGGGTATATGGTGTTGTATAGGGGTATAGGTGTTTATAGTGTAATAATAATAATATATAGTAAGATATAATAACTATGTTTAGGTACATAATAATAATCATATATGAAGTACCTACCCGATTTTCGTCCCGCCAATAGGGACTTTTAGCACCGACGGTTTTCAGGACGGCTACGGGAACCGGAAATGAAGTCAGACTCTTTTTCGCGCGCGCGAGTGTCACCCTCGATTTCTTGCCGCCGTAGCGGCCTTTCCTAGTACGGCAAACCGAGTAGTTTGACGTACTGGCGACTACGGGAGTTTTAGGTGAGTATTTTATTAACCTTTTAATTGACTTTTAGTGTTTTCATTTGAAAAACAACTTCTTATTCCTTTTCTTCATAAATTTAGACCAGTTTTCTTTAGAATTGGTTTGATATTTTTCCTTTATTTACGCTTTTTTCACAGGTGTGGAAGACACATGTCGGTCGAAAAGCATCCCAAGTGAGTTTATTTTTGTACATGATTCTGCTTGTCCTTTCCGTTTTCATTTTGATATATAACGCTAATACTCTTTATCTAAATTGTTTCTTAACGTTTGGAAGAGGGTTTTTCTTTCAAGTTTTTATCTATTGTTATGTTTCAGTCGCCGAATATCTTTTTTTATAACCAGACAAAACATGCCTTTTTTGCCTATGGCTGCTTTAATTTTTATATACAACTCTTGATGGTGTTCAGCTTCAAGTCGGGCATCAAAATGAAAGGCGAGAAGCATTTAAACGTGCTCATATGAGTTGCTGGACGTGATAACGGGCAGTATTCATTGAAGGACATCCTCCTTTAAATTTCTCTGCAAGTGGCTACTGTCGCGAACAAGTTTTTCAGTGCAAGATAGGAAATGAAACAGAAAGAATAATTAAACTTATAGCTGTAGCCACTTGCAGTCCTTGACTGACAATTTTTATTTGAGCGAACATTGTAAAAATCTGATTTAAGCTGGAATCAGTAGAATCACGGTTGAATTTTCCTAATTGTTTCGCTGTTTGTTGATAAAATTTGTAGCATCATTTCCAAGATTCAATGATTTGTATGTTATTTCTCAGCCATGATCTAGAATCCCTGAATAGCTGAGGGGCTAGTCAGGTTAAAAACTCGGGTCTGATTATTTTGTCTTACTGTAGGGCTGCAATGGAGTGGACCCAAGACCATGATTTGATGTTGCTGAGAGAGACTGCGTTTGAGGACCCTTTTCAATTTAAAAAAGGAAGTCCTGACAGAGGTGAAGTGTGGTCGAAGATAGCAAGGTCGCTCAATAGTTCTGCAGAATTAAAGTTTGCCGTAAAGCAGAGATCAGTGAGGGAGAGGTTTGCACTATTACAAGCTAAGTATAAAGAAAAAAACAAAAAGGATGAGGGAAGCAGTGGAACATCAACACAAATGTCAGAATTGGACCGGTTATTGGAAGATATGACTGAGAAAGAGAAAGATAGCGAAGAGAGTAGGAACGCTGCAGCTGCTAAGAAAGATAACCAAGACAGAGAAAAGGCAGAAAGCATTAGAAAGACAGCTATGGAAAGGGTAAGCCAGACTAAGAAACGACAGGAAGGGACAGAGCGTGAAGCAGTGAGCACTAAACGAAGACGCAGAGGTGGAGATGAGACTATAGAATACCTTAGAGAAAAAAGCGAGGCAGAAAGAAAGGTACGAGAGCAAGAACTGGAACTGAAAAAGGCAGAGGTGGCACTACAGGAAAAGCGGGCAGAGCAAGGCCAGACCCAGATGCAGGAGATGTTGAGAGTAATGCAACAACAGCAACAGCAGAGTCAAAACATGACAGCTTTGCTAATGCAGCAACAACAACATTTTATGAATGTAATGCAAAGTCTTCTTAAAAAGCCACAGTAAAAAACTTTCCTCGTTGCTTTAAAGTACCCTTCAGTGTGAAATATGACATTTTGTCTTGCCCTTTTTTAGCTTGGCAGGGTCCATTTAATAGTCACGTAGATTTGATTAATTAATCTGTTGTAATCTATTTGAGTATAGTTTTATCAAGTTTGTGGACATTAAACAACCTTTGGAAACAGGTTTGTTCTCTCGACTGGTAATGAAGTCAGATAGTGGTGTATTTGTGGATTGCCTTAAATAAACTATTAATGACAATCCCGCACTTAAATGCAGAGATTTTCTTCGATGACTACAGTTCTATGCATGACTACAATTTTATTTTCAGTTGATGTCTACAGGTAGCCCAGTAAGTTACATCAAGTAGTAACGGCAATGATTATTCTGCTCAAGAATGGTTTTTAGAACCTCTCAACATCTATAAACAGTGCTATCATTACTTTTTGATTTTAACTTTGTGAAGTACATCAATAATTAAAAAAAAGACAGAGAAGAATCTTGTAGTAAACCCATCTGATCTACAGTTATGTTGACTGTATACAGTGAAAAGAAAAGAACCGTAAGATAACTGGTTTGGTTCAATCAAGGGTACAGAATGCCCTTGAGCTGACTGGAAAAAAATCAGATATCTGTATAATGGACATGACAAAGAATACAGTCTAAACTTACAGGCTGTAGCTGGATGGTTTTATTACCCTTTTACATTGTCCAGTTGGAAAGCT